CTACAAATGTTTCTGCAAGGCCTTATCCATAGCCTGTGCTGGAGCCTGCATGCCCCATACCTGCTGGGAGCAGAGGCTGGCAACCGGGAGGCTTCCTGCGAAAGCGACACAAACCAAGTCCATGCTGTGTTCATAAGGGGAAGGAGACTTCACCCTATGCAGGCATCATGCCAAAGACTGCCTGTCATGTGGCAGGACAGTTGGGTTCCTGATTTGTGTGCCTTTAATTCAGAGGATGGAAACCTTCCCCTTGAGGAGGACAGTTAGGCATCACACCCTTCCAAAGCAGCCCAGCTTCCAGAGGGACCGAGGCTACAGGTGCCTGCTGGGGTTGCAGGAGGTGACACCTCATGTAAGGGCTGGTGGCAGCTTTGCTGTGAAGCAGTGAGTTCTTCAGGATTTACAATGTTTCAGTGAACAATAAAAGTTTGTGTGAGGCGTTTGTGTGGTACGTTGCTGTGCAGGTTGGGTGCTGTGCCTTGCAGTGGGGGACAGCACTTGGCCAGACACTGTCCCCACAGCTCAAGCTGGTCCTTTTGCAACTGTGCAGGGGTGTGTTGGGTGCTGGCTCTGCATGGCTGTCCCCAAGCCCTGCTGATTGCAGCCAGGGGACACACAGCAGCACTCAAGGTACTCGTAGATGCAAGCTCTACACAACGGTGGCTGAATTAGGGCCTGGGAGGCACCGGCCGAGCCCAGGCAGGAGATGCGGCGCTGGCTTTGCCGCAGCAGCCATTCCCGCCCAGTAGAAGACAATGGGAAGATACAAAGTAGATGCTTCTGAGCATTATTTTTCCACTATTAAAATGTCATTCAGCAACGTGGAAATCACTCAGGGTTTCTTTAGTTAAAGGCTCTGCACTGCAGTTCAGCACGTGGACAAAGCTGGTTCTTGTGTTTGAGGGGATGCTGAGCCAGCCCGAGCACCTGAGGGACCGCGGCACCTGCCGCCCTCGGGCCAGGTGCCCGTGCCTGCTGTGCCCAGCAGGACATTTCAGGTGTCTTTCTACTGCAGCAGACATTGTGCTCGCCTTGGGGAGCTCCCTGAGCTCCATCGTGCACTGACTCCACTGTGCACTACTTGGAGAAGCAGAAACAGCTGACAACCAGGCTGCCCCCCCAGCAGACACCTCCTGAGGGACCTGGTGCCGGTCTCAGCCTGTTCGTTAACTCCTGATGCCGTAATTAAATTCACACTGGAGATCCACAAACATCTGAGCTTGTTTTGGGTGGGAGGTGTGGGGACAGGGGGGAGTGTGGAGACAACCTGGAGCCTCCAGCAGCAGCTGGGGTAGGGTCAGGAGCAACCTTGGGATTCCTCTGCAGTGAATGAAAGGCAACAAGTCAAGCACTGGATGGGGCAGCAGGTTTTCCAAGGTCCTTCTGCCTTGTCCACAAGATCCCCTTCTCCTTTTGGATGCTCTTTGCCACCTGGGGAAAAAAAAAAAAAAAAAAAAAAGGAACAAAAAAGAAGCAAGGAAGGCTTCTGGCCCCTGTAAAGTGGGTCCTAGAAACAATGACCCTCATGTGGCTTCTCTCCTGAATCGCTGCCCTGTTCCTTGAATGAGCTGCAGCTGAGCAGCCAAAAATAGACCCTTGCAAAGGTAAATAGTCAGCATAAGCCTCTTTAGAGTCAGCCTTGAGCTGACACATCCTCCTGCCTCCTGGTGCTGGCGGGAAGGGGAGTGGAGCAGCAGGAAAACAAGAAAGCTGAGTCCTCGCTCCTGGCAGCAGTAACACTGTGCTTGGTAATCCCAGTGGGAACCTGGTGGCAGCACCTGGAAAGCCGAGGAGACGGGTGAGCACCGTGCAGCCCCACACCTCCTGGGATGGGCTCTGGGCTGTGCCAGCTGCATCCCATCCTGCACTGCCTGGAGCTGCTCTTGGCACAGGGCAGAGCGGGGCAACAAGAAGAGGAGGCAGCTGGTCCCCCACGGCTGGGCACACGGGGGTGATGAAACAGCTTCATGTGTCCCCAGCACCAACCACACAGGAGGTCAAAGCCTCTGGAGCGGGGCTGGGTGCGGGGCAGGGATGTTGAGCCAAACCTTCTGGAGCCTCCTGTGCTGGGGGAAAATTTGGATTTGTGAAGTGGAGCAAAGAGGCATCTGGGTTGGCTCAGTCTTGCTTCCTGGGTCGGGGTGTGTTGGGACACGGCTCTTTGGCTGTGCTGCTCAAGGGACGCTGCCTGTCAAATGAAAAATTACAGCTCACGAGAACAAAGAGTCTCACCTGAGTTATTACAGGCACCAAAGAATTTAAAACCCAACTTAGCTTGTCGCCGTGGGCTGGCTGATTAATCCCTGTGTCTCTCTGCTTGGGTCATAAAAATAGACCCGTCTGGCCGGCTGAGGCTCACGGTCACCTCCCAACCCAGGGCGCTGGCCCAGCCCTGCCCTGCTGGTGCTCAACACTCAGGGGAGGCTCCTCATGCCCTTCATTTATCTCATTTAAACATTTAGAAACACAATGTGCCATGAGGCTTCACCCCTCCTGGGATGGAAAGCAGAGGCTGGGCAGAGAGACCCCAGCAGCACCAGTAAGAGTTGGGCTGGTGGCACCAGCTTGGACTCACCACAGGGCTGCCAGTGACTCTGGTGAGGATCAACCTCGTGAGCAGCTGGGCTGGTGCTGCCCATTCCAGATGGGAATGTCCTCCTCCAGCAGCACACGTGCCCAGTCCTTTCCCAGACTGAGTCATGCCCCAAAAGCTGCTGGGTCTCCCCCTCTCCCCACAGGCTGCTCCAGAACCAGGCTGCTCTAATTGCAACGCTGGAAATTTAGAGGAAGGTCCTTAAATATTTTTGTGGCCATTTTTATTGCAGTCTGTGCTTCAGCCAAGAGCTTCAACATCAACCAAGTACCCAAAAATCACTGCTCTTTGAATGGAGTTCATT